TGGAGGCCAGGAAGTCCGTACTACTCCTTGCAGCTAGGTTGAAGGTTGCATTCGAGGATCTTGGTGTTGACATTGTTGACATCAATCAAGGATTCCAAACATGGCTCACATTTACTGCGTCTTCGTTGATTTCAAATGCATCGTTGGCGTATGGGGAGCACTTGATGAAATCTCTATCTCACATGGGAGGAGTCAGAATTTCGAAGAGGCAAGCTCTGGAAATTTTCCGGAACGGACGCGGCAAGCAATTCAGCATATATCGCGAAAGAGTTTTCGATGATGTTGCAAAGAAGTGGCTTTTGATCTATAGAGTCACAAAGGATTGCGGAAATGTCGCATACAAAGACTTCTTCGAGAAGGTTGCCGTTCCCGAGGTGAAGGAGAGGAACGAGATTTTTGGATTCTCCCGTGCATCTGCCGAGAAAACTGGAGATATCATCGAGTTCTGGCTTGGTGTCTTGGACGTGGCCAATATGGCCAAGGGAGTCGTAGATGTTTTCAATGCTAGTGTTGATCCAGCTGAGTATCTCAATGGATTGGAAAAGGCACTGGCTCAATTCACATCGACCTCCCGAACCTCGAGCACCATCAATGACAAGAGACGGGGATCCTTCGACTGCACACTGCAAACTGCAGAAGCCGAAAGGGTCATGAAGCTCATCCACGCAATCCCCGGATATGATTCGCTGGCCAATTTCTGCTGCCTCACGGACTGGGAGAAGGATCAGGTATTCTCTCATTATCGCAGGAAGAACAACATCACAGGGGGTGACGCCAGCATGGGCACTGATGCCGATGCCAAGCCAGGTGACGAGTCGTCGGCTCACCCTGGGGAGGAGGAAGCTGATGAGCCAGCGAACGACCCCACCGATGTGGTCAGGGACTCAGAGAATTCCGGGAAACAACAACTTTTGGATGCGTTGGGAAAACTCTTCACCGTCTCTGAGGATGTCAACGTGTGCTTGTATTGTGGTAGCACCCAACATGGCCATCTTGAATGTGAACATGAGAAGAGGGATGAAGTCAGAAAAGTGCTAAAGGCCGTCCGAGCGTCGCTCGAGGCTGATAGTCCAACATCTGATGACGTCGATATGGAGCCTCCTGAGCACAAGAAGGACGGTTCAGGTGCTACTGATGGGTCGGGGCAAACGGATGAACCTACAAAATCGAGGTTTGGTGAACACCAATGGTACGACAGCATCAGAACTATGTCTGAAGTTGGTGACCTCGATGAGTATGGCAGATTCTGCATAGAAGGACGTGATGTTACAAAGCTAGGACCACAGAACATTGTTGACCTCAACGAAGTGGTCAGAGACGCTATTGTCAGAGGAGGAGGTGACTCTTGGTCAGTGCCAGACTTTATGGCAAGCTACTCTGATAACAACATCAGGAAGCCCTTCTACAAGAGAGTCGAGGCACCGCAAGATGGTTTCTTGAAAATCATCCCGACCACGGGGGCCCATTTCTTCAACTGCTCTTACTTTGGCGGTGTAGAATATGCGGCCAACTACCGATTCGAGACTGGCAACCGACTCAATACCTATGAGGACAAGGTGAGTACATCACTAAACAGGATCCTGCGGCACAACGTGGGGAAGGTATCAGAACAACAGAGTCTGTCATGTGATGACGCCGGCTGGGTGCCCATAGAGGAGGTGCTCAAATGCGAGTCTATCTGGAGGCACGAGTACGCACGCTGGCCACATGTATTCCTTGCTCCAAAAGGAAGAGCAAATGATCAGAGTGCATGGAATGTCGATGAGGCAAACTACCGCATGACGTTGCTCTTCAAGATCATGTTCCACTGTGCCCGGTATGGACGTCGTGTTCGTGAACAAGTCTTGGCATTTGGTATCAACAAGGACATCGAGCGCACCAGCCTGACGTGCATTGACAACAAAGTCGATGCGAACACGAACATTCCTGATGAAGGTCTACTGCTCTACCCTGTGGCGGTCCGTGCTCCTACGGGGCACAAGGAAGGATCTTCAAGGGACGACGTCTCATTGCTGTCCTCATTACTTTCACATCCAATCGCGCCCAACACCATTTTGTCGTTACCGGTTTGTTTCCACATCACCAAGAAGACCAACCTTCGAAGCATTTGGAGGCAGGGATTAATTCCAGGAGGTCTTGGAGAAGGTCATCGGATGTTCACGTTCTTCAACCCGTATGTGCCATGGGATCACAGATCATGGACTATCACGAAGAGCGTTGATACGCGAAAGGGGGACTACATTTGCTTGTTCATCCCGACCGAGACCTTGATGGTGGAATATGGCGGTCGACTGACTGACTCGGGACAGATCGTCTCACCAAAGATCATCCCGTTCTCGGCAATCAAAGGAGGATGGATTCAGGACCCAAAGGACCAAAACAATAAGACATGGCTCCGGTTGTTCGTCCCGTCGGGCGACGACCAGGTAGTCCGGTCTGGAACTGTCAAATCAAGAACGGTAGCCACCAAGGAGTCCATCTTGAGGGTTGCAAGTCAATGCATCGACGCCGAAGATCAACCGTTTGACGAAACCGCCATGGATGCCATGAACATCGTCAACCAATTCAAGAACGACCTCATCAAGCCTGGCGGACAAGAACAATACCTGGCCCGCATCAAGCTGATTGACTACATAGTCGAACGCAAAAGGGTGCAAACATCAGGTTGCCGCCATTGTCCTCACTGTCTCAATGAGACGCCGACAAAACTAGCAGTGTGTCTAGTTTGCTGGACGGAACTGGAAAGTTGTGGAATCCGTCCCTATCGGCTACAAGCTCCTGAAGACGATGAAGATGAGGCCACGAAGAAAGAGATCGATGAAGAAGTTCGTCGACAAGAAGAATCGTTGTTCAAGGATACGGTCCATCAAGCACAAGAAAACGTATCCGAATCCAACGACTATGGCTTCAATCCCGACGAGGTCGACTACAACGAAGGCGATGATGAAGAAATGGATCAGGAGGAGGAAGCCCAACAGGAAGACGACGAAATCGTTGAAGAAGACGAAGATGAAATGGAAGTCGAACCTGAAGATGAATCCTCTTCCAAACTTCCAGCATGGACCAAGAACCTCGAGAGCGGCAGCAAGGGTATGCCAGAAGACGGACTTATCAACAATGATGTCTCCGAGGCCGCGGCTCACTTGTATGACAATGCTGTCATGTCAAAGGTCATCACAATGTTCAGGCTCTACTACAAACAGAGAGTCACTCTGACCCCAGAGGAGTACTATGAGATGATGACGGAAACCAAGCGAGTCCGGCTGGACCTGGACGACTTCTGTCCTTATACAGGAGAAGACCAGGATGGCAACCTCAAGCGACCGACGGAGCTGGAATTGGATGAACTCTTTCAGCAGAAAGGGAAGAGGAATTCATGGTCAGAAGGAGAGAAGTTATACTCAGGGCGACCAAGAAACATGATGATGCCTGTCATCAAGACTTTAGAGATCTATGAGAAGATGATGGAATTTCTGGTACGCGCTGGGTACACTCCTGAGTCATTAGGCTTTCTCATGCCAATGAACCGAATGCAGGCTGATGCCCAAGGGAAACAGGAGATGCGAGTAACCATCAGCAATTTCCTTCGACGACTGCTCAAAGGAACCTTTCCGGAGCACGAGTCATACACCTTCTTTCGCTCCGGGAGCCACGGCTTCCCCAACTGCATCGAACTCCCAGCTTTCTCGGTATATCTGAGCCTGAGGGAGAAAGAACAGAGAGTAGAACTGCTCTTTGCAGCCCAGCAGTGTGGCATTCCTCTACCTCAAAACTTTGTCAGCAAGATGGCTTATGCAATTCAGCTGGCCGAGGCCGAGGCGCAGAGGGGAAAGACCGAGATGAAAACGAAGATGGCTCCAACCCTTGGCGACGAAGTGGTGAGTGAAGTATTCAAAGCGGTTGGACATACTGCAGCTTCCAAGTTTGCTAAACCACTGCGCAACCTTCACAGACACCTGAAGGCACTGGTTCAGCATCATCCTCATCGGCTAGTGCACCAAAGGGCAAGGCTATGCCGAAATCCCATGAACCATCAAAGGCACCGCCTGCAAAGCCTTCATCGCCGAAAGCTGCTCCGAAACGTGCGGCAGGATGGGAGAGAACTCCAACAGCACCTCAATGGAAGAAAGTCCGCCGTGAGCAGTAAACCAATTACTTCGATCCGTCAAGATGATCACTGGAATATGAGATGTGTATCGTCTTTATGAACAGATGATCAGGAAAGGATCAACTGAGTGGACTCTGAGCGAGGCAGTAGAATAATTCGCTTAGGTTCAAGATTTTTGATATTCCCAATCTGCACGAATTCTGCACTGTGCACGTGAATTCGTTAGTTAGCATTGTAAATCTTTAGTAGCGAAGCGATCCATTTCTCCCGACGGGTGAGTGGTATGCCTAGCCAACGTAGAAAAGTAGATGTTAGCTAGCAATAATTCGCGTTGTACAGTTTGATAAAGCGCCGAAGCATCGACAGCCAGAGAGTAGGCGAACCCTGAACCATTATTCCCGACGGGTATGTGGGGAAGGGGGAGCCGAATGGCACGTTTTATGTACATAGGCGTAATTCAAGTAGCAGAAACAATCTAATTCAAAGTTCCCTCTCTCGTGTCCGTGGTTCGAAGAATACCACGGGCATGGGGGGTGTCAAAGGGAACTGAACACTAGGACACTTGTGATGTACATGCTTAATTGTATATCTGGACGCCGTACTGGCTCAAGTCCGTGTGCGAGGAAAAGGGTCCGAGCTGCGCTTGCCATGCCTCATCAGAGTCCGGCAATACTAGCATAACAGGTACCGCAATTGATAACTACATCCAGAACAAGGATTCATTTGTTCACAATATTAATATTACTATCATCAAACCATTATTATGATTTTTTTTACTACCAAACATGATATATATATATATGAATGTATGTATATATATATATATATCATGTTTGCTTATAAACCAACATTCTAACTGGCAAGTAGCACCCCGCATGGCCGCGACGGCGAGGGCAGTTGGCCAAGATCACGGCCGCCGTGAAAGTGGCGCGAGAGAAGGCGCAATCGGAAAGCGGATCGCAAGGGAATTTTTAAAGAGCAGAAATGGTGGATGATGGTTGTGCCGCCAAAAAGAGTGGTTTAATATAATTTAAACAAGAGAAATGGTGGTTTAATATGGTTTAATATGGTTTATATAATATGGTTTAATATGGTTAATAACTATAAAACAATAGTGTATGATACTAAGAAACAGTAAGAAATGGTGTTTGCACCTCTTGACATGATGAGTGGAAATTGGGTTTTGAAAGGACACATTTTCGGTGAAAAATGGTTTTGTATTACTTGGTGTCAGTTGGATTATGCTAGTAATTTGCTAGTTACTAGTTCTTTACCGTTTAAAACTGATACCAAGTTATCCTAGCAGTTGGATTCCACATTGCTGGTTGGGTTGGATCATTGCTGGTTTTTGTCAACCATATTTAGGAGGAGGATCCCTACCAGACGTCCTGTTTTTTTTTTTTGCGATGGGTTAAAACCAAAACAATTAGGGTGTGCATGTATGTGCATGTAATAAATATGTGGTTGTTGTTTCAAATTTTGACACAATGCCAAATGTTTCATGAAACTTCAGAGAATCATGTTTTCCCATGTCTTCCTTTTTTTAAAGGACATGAACTTGAGGCCCGTCTCCCGTTTTGAGACAACTGAGCGGCCAGGCAAAACGAAAAGCCTATGCCGAGTTTGACCAGAAGCGTCACTTGGCGATTCTTTCACAGCTGTGAAGCGCAGGTGATTTTGGAACCCCACTGTTTTGGAACCGTAAATCATGATAAATAATCCCATAGGATCCATGGTGCTGCTATATATGGTAACATGGATCCCATCAATATACCCCAAATTTTAGCATATATACCAGCACCATGGATCCTATGGGAATGTAGATACCCGCAAAGATGACCCAAAAAATAAAAAAAACTCAAAAACTGATTGTGCAATTGTGCACCTTGTAGGTGGTTGTTGTTTATTTTCTCACTATGCCACTATGCATCATTGGGTTCAACTGATATGTACATTTATCATATTGGTGGGCGCTAAAAAAAGGTGTACCCACTACAAGTGGTACAACCTTGAAACCATAAGCTCTGTGGCCTGGGATGCGATTCGTGGGATGCATAGCCTCTGGGAAACGAACATAGCAATTGAAAATGGATCAACGTTGCATAAAATAACCATTTAGTTTGTTGATTTATCTGTGTTTCTGCACCTGAGTGATTTGTTCTAGGTATGTCTCTAGTTTCTCTGGCATTGGAAAAGGACGAATCCAATCCATGTTCATACTGTGGATGGAAGAAATCCTGCACCAGTTGGTAGGTGGTTTATCCCATTATTTAATATCATTTATAGGGTTTCAACCATCCAAGGTGGTGCAGGATTTCTTCCATCCACCGTATGTTCAGGTCAGCTTTGCCAGCAACCAATGTGAGTCGTTCTAGTGGATCATCTTTGGTGATTTCATATCCTTGGAACTTCGGTGTCGTGGTGGAAGTGTTTATCCAACGTAATGCACTTACTATGACAATTATAGAACGCGGCTGGAAAGTCATATGGACGTCATCACTCGTTGAACTTTGTCCTTTCACAAATCCAGCGTGCAAACTGCGGCAGCCCAAACGGATATAATGTCATTGGCTTCAAAGTCTTCAGAGTCCCTCGGCATGATCATGATGAGATGAAACCGCAAGGAAATGGCTCTGCACCTGATGATCAGATCAAGCCGCCTTCGACTCCCAAGCAGACTCCCAGGGGCTTCCAGATGATGCCAATGACTCCCAATTGGAAGAAGGTGAACTGCCTATTGGATCCAAAAAAGGTGCAGTACCACGTCTCTGGACATACCAGAGGAAGAGGGATGCCAACTGACCAGTTGCAAGATGGATTCACTGGGATCTATAGGGTCAAACAAAAGGTGCCCCATCAAACATAGGGAGCTAAGTTGTTGGTTTATGACGTTGGTTTATGAGTAGGTTAACTATTTAACGTTGGTTTTTGGTAGATATAATATCTTAGCTGTCTATACTTAATGGGGTTTATAAACCGACTTATAGCTGTGGGGGCACACCCGACTTAAGCACTTTTGGTAGATACATCTATAGTCTAGATGGGTTCAAAAAATACAACTCGTAGCTGGGGGGGGCCACCACCTCGTAGATACGAATCACAACTTGCTAGCCACAGAGCACATCCACGATCCCTTTCTTTGCGAGGTACAGAGTGCGCCACGGCCATTCGCGCACAGATGACTTCGAAGGTGGCAGACGGCACGGGCACATTTCCGACTCCTTGGTGCACCGTTTTGGTACGGCTGTCCTAAGTTCCCGCAGTTTTCACAGGAAAATGATGATCAATGATGATCATTCATGATCATTCATGATCATTCATGGGATTGCGGGCCTAATGTTCAATGTCGGAGTGACAAACTTGGCCCAGGCACTTTGTGTTCTCTTAAATCGACCATGTTAACGAACTGTCAAACAGTTGGCACCAACTTGTTTCCACCAAAAGATCCCTCCTTTCTTGTGGCTTCTATCGCACCTCACAAGGTGATACCCCCCAAACAGTATCAAACTTAGTTCTTAAGTAGTTTGAGTATGTTTAAGCTGTTTTAAGTAGGGTTTCTGGATGTTTCTGGTAGATATATCTATAGTTAAAGTGTTTTTTTTCCGCCAACTCATCCCAGACACACGTGGACGACGCAGGAGAAATCTGCCGACGACTTCTTTGAAGAGCTGAACGGTTCGGGGGCCCAAGGAATGCCCCGGGGATTCAGAGGGTAACCATGTTGGTTCTAATTTGGGTACAGGATGGGGCCCCCAAGATAGCGTTCAGTTGCCTTATTTTTGTGGCTTTATGGTAGATATAACGAACTAGTTAATAGGGGTTATAATGGTTTATAAACCCAATCCTGTACCCTTTGGTAAACTAATATAGCTGATTTTCCCATGAAAAATGGTGGATCTTTCCATAGTTATGTTGGTTTACCTGGTAATGACTAACAGTTTGCTATTGAAAATGGCCATTGAAATAGTGGATTTACCCATTGAACATGGTGATTTTCCATAGTTATGTTGAATTATCAGAGGGTAATGTGGGTTCACAGTTTGCTATTGAAAATGGCCATTGATATCCATTTGATAGTTGAATTACCCATGTTTCACATGGTGATGATATCCATCTAATTTTGGTTTCCCAGAAAATGATCTAGAGTCATCTAGAGTCTAGAGTGTCGGTTCTCCTCATCTATGTTAGTTTACCAGAGAACATCATAAATCCACATAATGTGGGTAAAACAATGCCATAAACCATCCCCCAGTCATCACCATTTTTTTGTTGGGTGGTATAAACTTACCATTCCCAGGAAATCATGGGTGGTAAAAATGACATGATTTTACCCACATTAATATTAGTGAATATGTTGTTCCAATATGGGTCATATTGAGAGTACCCTCTGGTATATTAACATAGACCCTTGCAGATAGGGGTTGGAAGACTAGTTTCCATTAAAAATTGGTTATTTTCAGGGTCTATGTTAATTTACCAGGGGGTAATATGTTCCAATTCAGGAAAACATGTGTCACTCTCTCATCGTCCTCGGATGTATAATGAACGGTAACATGTTCTATGCTTTACACGTACCCTCTGGTTATTTAACGTAGCCATGGTATAGATGGCCCATAGAAATAGATGGTTTACCTATTAAAAATGGTGATTGTCCATGGCTATGTTAGTCATAACCAGATGGTAAATGCTTTAATGTTTTCTTGTTTTGAACGGAAGTGTCAACAGTGCAAAAAGATATATTACATGTATCAATATGGGGTTGGGACAAAATTTACAGCGAGGGAACCACAGATCTTAGTCTGTGTTTAGTATTAACCATCTAAGTCTTGGGGTATCTATTTTTGACTCATACCCATATTTATGTGTAATATATATATATGATATACAATACTAAGTGAATCTAAGCAACCATATTTTTGTTTGGCAGGCTATCTGAGATCAGCCATGAAAAAAATAGGAGAATTCAACATGATGCCACTGCCTCTGCAACATCTCGAAAAAGGGTCACCCAAAAGAGACAATGATTGAGATCCATGGTGGTCTCGTCCCTTGAAGAACTAGCACCTATGACATCCATGGTGGTATTTTTGCCATTATGTGTGGTGATGATTGTTGCGTGAGTTCATAGTTCTTAACTCATGTCAATATCAACGTGCATGAAACAACATGGAAAAAGGGGAAACAACACATACTTGTAATACTGCTACGTTCTTTTCATGGGGTTTGGAAGACGCAAAGTACTAGTATGTTTTGACAAGAATTTCTAAGTTCAATTCAGAATGTTAATTGAATCTATCCCCCATTTTTGATCATTTTCATTCCCAATGCTGAATGCTCCATCACCATGTTCGGTCATTTTTTTTGTAGATATGTAGGTTGCTTCCAACTATCCCCGTTCTTCGGTCAGTGGCACTGCAACATATCTTCCATGGTGCAGGGGGGGAAGCCTTGGACCGAGAGAAGTTCTTGAACTTTCTCAAAGGCGCTGGGTTGGGACGGCGGCCTACCCAGAGAGGGTCCTCAAACGTGGCTGGCTGGGAAGTTTTCCATGAAAATGGAGGTTTCAACGGGAAAATCCATGAAAATCATTTAGATCAATGGGTGGTTGTTGTTCCATACGTTTGGTTACCGGAGGTTAGCCCATTTAAAATGAAGAATTTTGATGAGGAAAATATGGAAAAATGGGGAACAAACCCATAACTGGTTGGTGGTTTGGAACATGGCTTGTATGATTGTCCATTAATATTGGGAATGTCATCATCCCAACTGACGAACTCCATCATTTTTCAGAGGGGTAGGTCAACCACCAACCAGATAAAATGATGGAGACGATACGGGTGAACGATGGGACCATGTGTCAACATGGCCTGAGAAATCGTGGGCAAAATCATGAGATGATGATCATTTGAGGGTAGCCTTTAAACAAACTGACGGCCAAGTTACAAGTTTATTGAATCAATTGTATCGCCAAGTTCAGTTAAGCAGGTCAGTAAGTGCAGGATGTTACTTCTAGGTGTCTCCAAGTTAACCAAGTCTTTCAGTGAGGAAACCCACGAACTTGAGTGGACACAAACCAAAGTTATTGCCCTCCCATCAAGCAACACAGATATCAAACATGAACATTCATTAGATGACCTTTGCGTAGAATCTGGTGATTTTACATCTCTATGTTCGTGACACGGCAGGGCAACTACTTTCCAAATCAGATGCAGATTGTTGTTTGGTACTTGGTGAAATCCAGGTGGTTTTGGTCAAACAAATATTGAAATCCCATGTTCAATGGGAATTTCAGGATCCTAAAATGGAGGTACCTACCATATATATAAGGCCTATTTTTCAGGCCTATGTAAGTGAATATCACCACAAAATATGGCCTTATATGGTACAGTACCTCCATTTTAGGATCCTGGAGATCTCCCATTGACATGTTGCTTGCCAAACAAGGTGTCTTCACCCTAGGAAGTGGCTTGCGTCACCCCAGCTACCACTGGACAAGCATCCTTCTTACCATAGATTGGCTGGAGTGAACCCACAAAGGCTGTCTCGATCCTGCAGAGGACTGTATCCCAGTAGAATAGCAATTAAAACCAAATTTTGGTTTGCAAACCCCTTTTTCCGTGCATCAAAACTGTGCTAAATCAGCATTTTCCGTTGGTTAAATCACCATTTTCGGATATGTTCCTCAAGTCAAACAGTCCATTCACTGCTTTCATCCCCAACTCCCCAACCTTGGGTAGTTTAATATATATATATATATAATTATTATTATTATTATTTTCTGTAGACCAACCCCATAGAAATCACCAGTTCTAAGCAGTTAAAACCACCGCTGCACCACCGCGGAACGCCGTTCAGATCTGCCGGGCCTGGAGTGCTTCGATGGCCAAATGGAGAAACTCTTCGACAACTTGGCCACGGAAGGTCGGGTTGGGTCGAGGATGCTTGAAACATGGGTCAGGTATGTGTATGTTATATGACATATGTATATATCTAATAATATATACATTACTGCAACGTTGCATGTATCATATACATATATGTATTACTAATGTGTAATTATGTGTATATATATATATATATATTGATAATATTATATATATATTTATATGTGTGTGTATGTCTGTGTTTATCGATATACAGTATAAATGCATGAATATACATATTCACAAGAACTTGTGATACGAACTTCCGACATCTAAAATACGACCAAATTGAAAGATGGTTGAAATGAAGTATGATTCAAACATACTCTGACCATCTGTGACCATTCAATTGGGAAAATCAGCAGGACGGAGGGCAGCATTTGTGAAATTTTGCGGATGCTCCACTTTTACATGGACTAAGCCATGGTGAATGGTGAATGACATACACAATACCCTCTGGTTATGACTAACATAGCCATGGTATAGATGGCCCATAGAAATAGATGGTTTACCGTTCTCAAAAATGGGTGGATCTTTCCATGGCTATGTAAAATAACCAGATGGTACTTTGCATTCTTCAAACAGGACGCAATCAGATTTAATGTCTCAGCACTCAGCACATCTCAGCATTTAGCCGTGAATTTTAGGTGTTGCATGTTGTGGCGTCCACAAGTGCCTCAGAATTCTTCTTTCCAGGACGATCCTCTATAAGCTGGTGCCCCTCATTGGCCAAAGAACTAGGTGAATTCCTTTGGGTTTATGCTAGATATGTGTAGATAATATGTAGATATAAATACATATAAATACATATATATATATATATATCACCGGAAAAAACAGCACCTTGTACGATGGAACTTCCCTTTTTCGTCATCGCTTGCAGGCAGTATTAGCAAAGCAGGTTTCAAGGACTTGGTACGTGTCTTCTACAAGTGCGTCAAGGCCCGGTTGCGGTGACCACAACACGCTGGGTCCAACGTTCGTCTTGTCACTCATTTTTTGGGGAGGGCGAATACACCACTGTTTGGGACCATACTCTACCCATTTGCGCCTGAAACAATATATGAAGATTATGAAGTATTTGCAGTAGTTTCCCTACGCAGATTCTAGAGTACTAGCAGCATCATTGATGCAACTTTTACATCTTTGCAGTTGCAGGTGGTGAATTGAGGAGACCTGGTACTTGTAAATGGATAAACATCGATCAATGCCAGACACACGTCCACAACTAGTACTGTACCAATCACCGCGCTACGGTCCCTACAGTGCCACAACTGTATTTGATGGGATTTACAAAACTCTAAGAAGAAAGACGTGTGCAACTTGGTATGCTATTGCACTTATTGAAAAACAACACACACATTATACATGTGTTTTTATTTGTCTTTACCGTGCAATTTGGTAGGGCTATTTGCTTTTCTGGATTTTTTGGGGGAGGTTGCTATACTTTATACTCACTGTGCCGGCGTTTCCGGTTTCGTTCGCCTCCACTGAGATGATCCACCCGATCCAAGGATTCCACCTCCCTTGATCGGATTTTTCACCTAACCATCGTGAAATTGCAGAAATACCAGTTAGTACTAACAATTTACCCCATAGAAATAGAAGAAAATCCCATAGTTCAATAACCAACAATTTACCCCATTTATAGAATGTTTGTTATCCCATAGTTCAATAACCAGTTATAACTAGCCATGGCCATAACTGAAACCGCAGGCCACGGTGATGAGCTCCGAGATCTCCATCAAGTCCAAGACCATCCGGCGCCTCGAAGTCGGAGAGGCCAGATGCGGGTCACCATGGAAAAATCCATGGCAAAAGCCATGGGAAAATTGTGTTTTTACCATGGAAAATTGCGTTTTTTACCATGAAAAAAGTGATTTCACCATGGAAAATGGTGATTTTACCATGGGAAATTGCGTTTTTTACCATGAAAAAAGTGATTTCACCATGGAAAATGGTGATTTTACCATGGGAAATTGCGTTTTTTACCATGAAAAAAGTGATTTCACCATGGAAAATGGTGATTTTACCATGGGAAATTGCGTTTTTTACCATGAAAAAAGTGATTTCACCATGGAAAATGGTGATTTTACCATGGGAAATTGCGTTTTTTACCATGGAAATGGTGATTTCACCATGGAAAGTGGTGTTTTTACCGTGAAACATGGTGTTTTACCTGGAAAATGGTGATTTCACCATGGAAAATGGTGATTTTACCATGGGAAATTGTGTGTTTTACCATGAAAAAAGTGATTTCACCATGGAAAATGGTGATTTTACCATGGGAAATTGCGTTTTTTACCATGGAAATGGTGATTTCACCATGGAAAATTGTGATTTTACCGTGAAACATGGTGTTTTACCTGGAAAATGGTGATTTCACCATGGAAAATTGTGATTTTACCATGGGAAATTGCGTTTTTTACCATGGAAATGGTGATTTCACCATGGAAAATGGTGATTTTACCGTGAAACATGGTGTTTTACCTGGAAAATGGTGATTTTACTATGAAACCATGGCTCTGCGATGAAAAGTTCATGGTGGGTTTACTGTGAAAATGCTGGAAACATGGTGAAATGCTAGGAAAAAATGGATTTACCGTGAACAATGCTAGTTTTACTTCGTTTTACTATATGAATAATGGTGGTTTTGCTAATCGAACATGGTAGTTTTGGAGATGTTTTACAATGAACAACTAGAAACATTGGTTGGTGAAGCATGAACATATGGGAAATTTCCACTGGGTACTGCAGAACTACATGTATATGTTTTGATGTGTTTTGACATATTCTGGAAATATGAGTGAATTTCATATATGCCAGCCGGAAAGCCAGAGCATCACGATGACGTTTGCATCCAAACAGAAGGCCACCATGGGATGAACATCAAAAGTGATGATTTCACCTCTGCATCTGACATAAAATTATCCATATTTTTTTCGGTAAAATTCATTGTTTTTTTTTTTAATGGTATTAAGAATATGGTTGATGGTCAATTAACTAGTGATTGTAATTATATAGTAAAAGTGTGGAGTCATCAGTTCGTTTGATTTCCTTGGTTTACTATGAATTTTAGGTTCTTTGAAGATAAATATATGAATATATGTTTGGGGATACATGTGTGAATTATTTACCATGTTTTTTATTGGCGGGGTATCTATCATATTGTGCTTCAAATGCCAATCTTTCATCGTCCATTTCACTTCTCGAATCATCTTAACTCATCCAAAAAAAACATCATTAGTTCATCTGAAATCCCCCCATGTTTGAAAAAAACACATTTTTCTTCCATTATAACATCCATATTTTTCTGTGGGTTTTGCCATCATGTTCACCAGTGGTTGGTGGTTTGGAACATGGCTTTTATTTTTCCATATCTTGGGAATTTCATCATCCCAACTGACGAATTCCATCATTTTTCAGAGGGCTAAGGCTCAACCACCAACCAGATATAGTAACTTTAGGTGATATCTCTATATACATCTATAACATTCTATAACTATAGTAACTATAGGGCTAGGTATACCACCAACCAGACCATGCTTCCACCATTTTTGACGTCGGATCCGCCAGGTGCTCGAGGCTTTGGCGACGCCTTGCCAGGAAGAGGCCACCCGGGTGATGCGGGTGCAATGCGTCGCCACGCAGGCGCGGGACCGGGGGAAGTTCCATGGGATTTCCATGGGACAACATGGGGATTTCAATGGGATTTAAGGGGAACACATGATAAAAAAGGGAACGTCTGAACATGATTATATTATATTATAGTTTATTATCTAATATTATAGTTTATTGTCATATATCATAATATTAGATATGATATCTAAACCTCCATGATTTATAGTTTATAGTTGATTTATACTAAAACTGATGTAAAGATGGAGGTTTCATGGGATTTTTAAAGTTGATTGATGATAAATCGCAAAGTTGATGGGTTTATAAGTCCAATTTCACTGTTGGGTGTCTGGCAATTACACCGAACTAGTTTTCATGGGGGTTATAGAAACATCAGTTGTGTTTTTTTTTTTTTCGGGCCCCGTCTTACAGTTATGTTGGTTTATCTCATCCCCATGAACCCCCATAAAGCTAAATATTTGTTGGTCAGCTAAGGAACGGGATTTAACCACGAACAGTTCTTGTGACTCAAAAGCAACAGAAATGGGACTCACGAAGCGGGAAGATTGAACCAAGGAAGAAAACACATTGTTTGGGGGATACGAAATGGGATATAAAATCAGCTTGATATGATATTTGATGATATTTGGATGTTTGATTGAACATGGTGGATACCCCAAAATAGCTTTTTAAAATGGGGGAACCCAACAAATGGATGACTTCTTGATCATGGTTTATTAAACGATATTTTCAGAAAATTGCAGCAATGTGGCGATTTTACAGTCTGAAACTGGCATCCATAAACTAAAGGTTCAAAGACTTTTAAAGTCCAACAAATACTAGTGTCAAAATTCCAGGACATTGGTACTCCAGATAATGGATGACAAGTGTCATTCCAGTAGCGATCATGTTCTTTGGATAACCACTACCACATCATGTGTTGGCGGCATGTGGTTGTATAAATCCCATATGACTCTTAAGGAAGTTGAGAGTCTGTCGCCAAGGGAGGTTTGATGGATTGAGCACACAACTGATAATTTACTAAAGTCTTTTTTTTTGCAGCAGAGCAACAAACCACAAAAAAAATGGTGATGTATTATTTAGCTAACAATTGGCTCTCTGAAATTAGCTAGAATAAAGATGCAAGTTTCGCTTATAAATTCATATTATATAAAGTATATATATATAATATGCTGAGTGAGAAGTCGAAGTTGCAGACAGAGAGGATGTGGACAAAAGGCTTGCTGAATACAAGGAGAAAGAACGGGCGAATGCTGATGGGGTAGTGATGCTTCCAGAATCCAAGCTGGGTGCCCCACCAGCTCCACGGCGCATTTCCTACCTCTCATGGGAGCACGGATGAGTGCAGTCCAAACTTCCTGATCACTGGAGAAAAGCACATGTCACCTCTATACAGGATGGTAACTACCTAAGTTGGTTCATAACCCCCATTCACTATAGATTCTATAGATATAAACCCATGAGCCCTATATAGTTGTTGGAATTGTGAACCACCTCGTAGATGCGCCATTGAAGCCCACAATGTACATTTGGAGAGATTCCATATATAAGTGCCAGGTGGTCCCAGTTATCTACAAATTGGTTGAGTTTTCCCCCATCTAACATTCATCTAACTGGTTCCATGTACCATATTCATCACAAATCCATATACTGGTTGGTGGTTTCAAACATTTTTTCCATCATATATGGGATGTCATCCTTCCCATTGACCTACATATTTTTCAAGATGGATCAAACCACCAACCAGATAAATATCCATCACAAATCCATATATCAATGGCCATTTCAGGATCCATTCTATTGGAGGTACCTACCATATATAAGGCCTATATAAGGTATCAATGGGATTATCTACTATCTTCCCTTGATAGTTGATGATTAGCTTCCAACTATGTATATTGGTAGATAATCTTCCAACATAGATAATCTTCCAACTATTATTAGTTTCCTATATATATTATCTACCAAATAGGCATCTTATTATAACATTAACTTAGCTTATCAATGGTATCATGGGGAAGATGGTATCAACCACTTATTATATATAGATATCCTAAACAGCTAAGCTTTAGTTTCCCCCATCTTCCCCCATCTTCCCCCAGCTTCGATGTGAGGATGAACTCACCGGTTGGGTCACCGTGGCAGGCCGCCGGGGCCTGGGGATGATGTTAAGACCGTTTAGACCTATAATGTTACCTTTGATTCATATAGATTTATATGGATTTATGTAGATTTTATATAGATTGATGTGTTTTTTCTGGGGATAGATTTATCATCATAGATTTACCATGATTTACCTAAAAGTTACCATTGATTTGGGGGGTTCAACATCAATTTCGCAGCGTTTTTGCGGTGTTTCTCACGGAAATATGATCCATATTTATCCTCATATTATCCAAAATAATCTTGATATATGATTCTCTGATCGTATATCCAAAAATGGTGAAGTCCCCATTTCTGGTGAGTTGTTGGAGTTGAGATATGCTGATTCCGTGAGGTAATCAGGGCACCACCTTCCTTGAGCCGGGTGGCAACTTCTACACCTGCGTCAAGGATCCGCTGGATCGAACTCTGGGGTATCAGTAGGGTATCCTAGCGATAAAGAGGCATGTACAAGTGAGTTGTACTATGGTTACAATGTGGCGCCCCTTAGATAGCTAAGTTGGTTTATAACTCCAGTAGCTATGATTTATGGTACTTATAACTATAGTTACTGGGGCTTATAAACCAACTTATAACTGGGGGGCCTCACATTGTTTAACATTTTATAAGCCACTTGTTAACTATAGAACGTCAAAGTAGCAAGTCCAGGGTTGCTGTTTGATACCTT